AAAGGTTTGGCCGGGGACGCTCTTCTGCGGTTCGTCGAGGCTGTCGGTGCTAGAATTCTTTACGATATTTGCAATAGAGTTGTTGCTCGTAGGCGCTGATCTGTCGAGAGTACGATTAACGCTATCCATTTGATAAACAGTTCCTGTTGCAATATATCTCTCCTCTGTACCGAAGCGGGATGCGTCTGCGAAGAGCGCAGGTAGCAACTGTAAATCGTTACTCCAAGCGGGTGGGAGTAGCTTGTTTGCGAGTTTCAAAACTTCCCCGAGAAGCAAAGTAGCTCTGCGTTTCAATGTCGGATTATCCGGCTCGCTGGTGATTTGAAGCAACCCAGGTATCATATCCGATTTTATCAAAACGGCAAGAAGTAGAGCAGTGTAGTGGTCAGTGAGATTCTTCTCAGCACTTTCATCTTCGACTGCGAAGGACGAGGTGGCTTTAGTCGGCTGAGTTTTCAAGTTGGCCACGCGCCCGTATGTTGTCAAACGCCGACCAGCCAGAAATGAGGAAGACCACGAGGGAGATTTTATTCGAAGCAGACTGAACAAGAGGTCTACAACTGTCTCGCGAATGGCTTGGTGGGGTAACATCAATGAAGATATTAAAGATTTGATAGCCCGGAAGTCGTACATTGATAGCGTTAACAGGCCAGGCCATGACTTCATCGCAGATGAGATAGCTTTGGCATTCTGCTTCAGTAACTTTTCTCGGGTGAATAATGAATCGGTAAAAGTAGTGAACAGAACCTCGAGTTCAAAGCCGGAACGAAGATATTTCCGCCGCTGTGGAGCATCAAGCAAGTAGAGAAATGCGGCAATAAGCCCCTCGCAGGCTTCATAGCCGCCTTCACCAAGAGCATCAGTAAGGGGTCGCAACCCACCAGCCGCAACTAGGAGTGCTGGATCTTTGATCATGATTTCTGCCAATGTCTCAATGCATATCGCTTTCAGCCGATCTTCACTATGCTCTGCAACAGAGGCAATTGTCCGAACGATAGCCCTTGAAATTTCGTGTACTCCATCCTTAACTTCAAGAAATGCGCGTACAAACTTGAGCGCCTGCTCACGCTCGACATCAGCTTTCCTTTCCTTGATAAGAGAGAGTACGACAAGGTAGTCTGTATTTAGGCTCCTGATCTTTTGCAAAGAATTCAGGTCAGAGATTGCGTGGCGCGTCATGCGATATCCAGCAGCAACAACTTCTCTGCTCTCACTAAGAAGCATGACCTGCATTCGAAGGCCGAATATTGACCACACCAAATCATATTTCAACGTTGGATGACGCTTGAAAAGCTCGACCAGATTATTCGCATGGCCAACATAGTAGTCTGGCGCCAGGCCCTCCACTTCCAAGGCTTGCAGAATTTCAGCAAGGACATATGTTGGAGACTCGGAAGGTTCGTCGTCATTCGAATCGGTGGCGCCGCTCTTTGCTAGACTTGCGGGAGACCTCAATCCAGTGCTGTGGAACAGCCCAGCCATGCGAGTTCGCGTTGGGGTAGATGGTGCCTGCGATTGTGGCTTTTGCTGAAGCTCCGAGATTTGAGATAACAAGTCCTTAATGCGCTTGTTGGAGGAATTGAGCTCCGCCTCAACACGTGTCCGTTGTTCCTTGGTTTGTTTTGCCTTCTTGGTGTTGAGAGCTTCGAGCATATTCTCACTGCCTTCCTTGATCTTCATCTCTCGATTGAGGTTCTCCCTCAATACGGAAATCATTTGCTCCGACATATGAGTCACGTCTTCTTCGAGTCTTTCCAGGCCTATGGTAGAGCCCATCTCCGCCTTCGAACTCGCCCTCGATGACACAGCTTGGCTCCGCAGTTCTGAACTGAAGCTCCCGGGCGCGGCAAGGGGTGCCAAGGAGGAGCCTCGAGGCCCATAAGACATGGCTGAAGAGGAGAGAACCTGGGTCCCGCTATGGGACCGTGGGTGTTGTGAGCCATCCCGATCCAAGCTCGTCCGCGACTGGGCCACGAGGTAAGGTGTCGACTGCTGGCTTTGGAGTGTCTTCTGAGTCGGCGTCGCGGACGAGCCCAGGGTGCTCGGTGGGCCAACCATTACCCCATGGGCTTGCTCGTCCGTCTCTCTACCTGGCGAGAGAATATCGCATTTGAGGTGTATTCGATGGCTGTTGATTAGCCGTTGTGAGGCGCTCCCCGAAGCAATTCGAGGTTCGGATGGACCCAGTCAGAGACGCTGGTTGTTGCTATTGATGGATAAGAGACGGTGGATTCCAGAACTTGGGAGCAAATATGTATAGATGTGTAAGTTCTAGCTGGATAATGAGAGTGATGCCACTTAGTGGGCTGGAATATAGCTTAATTGTCAACGTTTACATTGGTAACTGATAATGGCGTTGTTGCCAGTCGTGCCCGTGTCACCAAACTTGATGCCTAAAATGCAAGGCGTGCGGGTATGCGAGTTGCGCGTGGCACCGTTACCGTCCAGCTGTCCCCCGCGTTTAGCCCTGGAAATCTGGAGCAGGTAGTACAGGCCGAATCCTTGATGTTCGATGGATGGAACAAACAGCAAACCTACGCCAACTTCAACTTACTTACATTACATATTGAACATGAAAGTGTTATTACATAGGTTCTCTATGCCGCCCGTGAGATTCTTTAAGGGCATATATATACCTTGTATTCATGCCACGCATACTGTGCTGGTCTCGTGCCGTCCAAAGGTCGAAACGACGGATTATGTCCAGGACTATGAGAAATTAATATTGAAATTGAAGCTGAACCTGATATAATTCCTCTCTTTTGTTTAAACATAGATAGCCCGGCTTATCAAAGGGCTAACAATATGCTAATTACAGCTTTAGGTGAACATAAATGTTTATTTTATTATTTTATTGGCAGTTTTTTAAAAATATATATGAGTAATCACAATAACAACCAGTCCAAGTAATATAGCAATTTCCAAATAGCATCAGAAGAGACGGACTGGCTTTATTAAGTGCGACCATTTCACTAGATATTTCGGCGACACGACTACGGCACGGTACTTACTCACCCGGAGCTTTTTGCGCTGGCAACTGGATCTCTCCGTGTGGCGATCGGCTTGTACACAGGATGTATCAAGCATATCGGCGTACTCCGATCCCACGCTAGCTGGCGGCCGGGCATGGAAGAGATCTCAACATGGCCTCATAAACGTTTTTCTATGCTACTTTATGATCGATATACATAATATTTACTTGATCCCCGTCTCTTTACCCTTGTCTAGGCACCCGATTCGTGTCTGATCTCAATCCCAAAGCCGCTTCAGCCGTCGTCCGTCTCCGCTTCTATACCTAGATTCCAACCCGTGATATCGAGATACCACTTATCCACGGAGGTCCCTGGCTGCTTCCGGATCTATATAAAGAGGGTCGGACTCGCTCGTCCTTCGATAAGAACTTCTAATCCCATCTACTCATACCCCTAGCTCAACTTGAAAACCAAGCATAACAAGAGGCAACTATCCGTTATCTTAATAAATCACATATATCAAAATGGCCGCTATCGTTGAGGCTCGTTATGGAAAGGATAACGTCCGCGTTTACAAAGTCCACCGCGATGAGAAATCCGGCGTCCAAACTGTCACCGAGATGACCGTTTGTGCCCTGCTAGAAGGAGATATCGAGCCCTCGTAAGTGTCCCATAAAATTTACCTCTTATACTGGTCTAACCGTCTCCTTCAGATATACCGACGCCGATAACAGTGTTGTCGTTGCAACGGACTCAATCAAGAACACCATCTATATCAAGGCCAAGGAGAACCCTGTGACTCCCCCTGAGCTCTACGCCAGCATCCTCGCGTCGCACTTCGTCGACACGTATAAGCATATCCATGCTGCTCACGTGAAAGTCATCGTCCACCGCTGGACCCGTATGACTCTGGATGGGAAGCCCCACCCCCACTCGTTCTTCCGTGACGGAAACGAGACGAGGAATGTTGAAGTTACCGCCCGTGAAGGAAAGGGCATCGAAGTTCGCAGCAGCATCTCCGGACTGCTGGTCCTGAAGAGCACCGGCTCCCAATTCCACGGCTTCGTTCGTGATGAGTACACCACTCTCCCTGAGGTCTGGGACAGGATTCTGTCCACCGAGATCGATAGCACGTGGAAGTGGAACAACTTCGAGTCTTTGAGATCGGTGCGGGCCTCTGTTCCAAAGTTCGATAAGGCGTGGGCTGCGGCACGTGAGATTACGATGAAGTTGTTTGCGGAGGAGAACAGTCCGTCTGTGCAAAATACCATGTATAAGATGTGTGAGCATATCTTGAAGGCAGTGCCAGATGTTGACACTGTCGAGTACTCGCTGCCCAACAAGCATTATTTCGAAATTGGTAAGGACCCTATTATCCCTTTGTAAGCGTATTGAATCACTGACACTTTCTCTAGATCTGAGCTTCCACAAGGGTATTAAGAACACAGGGGCTGATACCACTGTCTACGCTCCTCAGTCGGGCCCGAATGGCTTGATCAAGTGCACCGTTGGGCGCAAGGACAAGCTTGAGAAGGGCAAGTTATAGAGGAGTTGTTGTTGCTGCATATTATATTGGCGAGGATGTTTTTGGGTTTCTTCTTTGGTATATACGGGCAAATGTTCATGTCGCACAAGTTCCTGTTTTTAGCTACGCTTCTTGTACAAATTAGGTCATTCTCACCACTCATTGGGCACACACTGGGGTTTGCACAAGAGATAGATATTGAGCGTTGATTTTTCTCCCATAATAATCGGTCTCAACAAAGTTCAAGAAAGTCTTCTATTCCGAGACGCTGGGTGACGTGTATTCGACCACCTTCATGGCCATGTCGCAGTCCAGCTCAGTTTAATCGTGTGTGATGGCTCAATACAGACAGTCTAGTTAACCAGCGCAACCACCACCGATTGATATTGGAAGGTGAGTGCCAACTTGTGACAACGTGCATATCATCATGCATCAAGCACCGGAGCAGACTCAGGTTTGTGGGACTAGGCTGCGTGATACAGGCCTCCAACCACAAATCTAGGACAGGTCTTAAGCTACTGATTAAGGCTTGCAGAAGCAATATTGTGAAATCGCTATAAGTATAAGGTGCAAACCCAAGGTCCTCGAACGGCAGTTAACCATTATAATTCAGAACGACACCATCGAAAAAATCCTATTACACCCAAACCGTCCACATTTAACACCTCGCACAACTATCGATCATCACTCTCTCACATCGCCATCCTCACAGACAATGCGTCTCTCTCTATATTCGATTTCGGTTGGGCTCTGCCTCTTTCACAGCGTCCTCGGCGACGGCGGCAGTGTGAAATTCGCGCCCGCCGAAGGTACACCAGGGGATACTGTGACATGCACGAGCACGGTGTTCGACGACGCGGACCTTGCTGCTTTCCTCGAAGCTGAGAGCATAGATGATTGCACAAGAGTTGGGAACAACTTTGTCTTCGATGAGGGTTTTATTTTCAGGTGTGGTGATGATCTTGAGAATGAGATTCTTACCGCTTGCCAGGGGCCAATTAATGGGGTGTCAACATGCAAGAAGGGCGCCCCGGCCGGGCTGGGGTAGACCTATGAGTTCGTTCTTGTTCAGTGTTTTGAATGTGTTATTTCATTTGAAGTTTGGCCTCTTGTGACCATCTGCCGCCCAGTGCCTTCATAATTTACAATATATCTATACAAAATACAGTGTCCACAGTCCCGCTCCTAATCTCCTTCCCAATCATAGTCTCCTACGAGGAGGCCTCAATTTTGCTTGCCTCAACTTTGCTTGCAGGCGGCCACTTCGCCACGTTGCTCACCCCATTAAACTTAACAATATTCCTCTTGTATGGGTGAGCGTCCCCCTCAAACGCCTTCAGTCTCGCCAGTCTGTCGTCCCTCAACCTGTTCTTCGGCAGCATCCCCGAAACCGCTTTCCTCAGCACCTCCGCTCCTCCAAACTTCTCCATCAGTCCCTCCATGTTGATCTGCTTGAGACTTCCAGGGCGGGTGTTGTGGCGGTAATATTGCTTTTGGTACATCTTCTTACCCGTGACACGCAGCTGCGAGCAGTTCGTGACGACCACATAGTCACCACAGTCGGTAGATGGGTCCCAAATCGGCTTGTGCTTTCCGCAGAGGATGGTAGCTATCCGCGACGCCAGGCGGCCAAGCGTCGGCGGCTCGAGGAGAGGCGAATCGACGGGAGGAAGAGGTTTAATGGTGGTGAGGCCGTAGTGGGGAGTCGAGGCTGAGATGTGGTGCCATGTCCGGGAATACGCCAGCTTGGTCTACACGATCGGGGGTCAGAAAATAAATTCTGCGGAGAGGGGATGCCTGCTACTCACCACGCCATTGACTTGCGACATAGCTGTGAACGGCCCGTTGGCCTATGGATCCCCCGTTTGTGATTGGGGTAATGAGTGACGACACAGGTGGCAGGCGTTAAGGTGGTGGTGAAGCTGCGACGATGCCGGCCTGTAAATTGAAAGTCGAGATGCCAATGCCAAGGCTCACGAGTCGACACTGTCAGAATTTCTGAGGTCACGTGGTACATTTTTACCACATGGATTACATAATCACTCTTGGTCTGTAGTTCGTCAGAATCCCGAGATCACGTGGTCTCATTCTCTCCCGCAGGTTACTCACAGTAAAAGCCTTATTATGTAAGTCAACTTCAATACAATGCGCCCGATTGACTCTATGGCCATCCCAACGCTCCACGAGAAATAAGTTCACTGGGGCACACATCATCCGGTCTCGTACAGGTACATTGCACCTCAGGCCGAATTACTCGTGTTTGACATGTCACATATACCTCCAGTGAGCATAACATGACACCCCGTTACGCGCCCTTGGTTTCCAAAGAGCCCTGTTTTCTAACGTATGACGCGCCAGAATTAGATGTGATCCCTGCCATCCCCTGTGAACCCTGCCACTCCAACCAATCAAGGGCGCACCCCAACACTTGGAAACAGTCGCCGCCTTGAGATGGGACCTCCCGACTTCCCGCCCGATACATCCCATACCAGCATTGTGCGATCGTGGTACTGGATGGCGGTGCCACTGACGGCGGTACTATACTGAATTCTCCAGTGCTATTGATTCTCACGGCTTGTATGGCTTGTATGGCTGAGCAAAAATACAGGGCTGTTGTCATGCAACATGCAACAAACACACCCCCCCATACTCGCATATCATGCACCACCACACGGTTTAACCTTCACGAAAAACCCCCCAAAGCGGCGTGAGGTGGGCTCAACTACATCGAATCCAAACCCTCGAACAACCGCCTTCAAAACCCGGCACTGTCACGACTGTCACGATACAACTCGACACTATCGATACAGAAGTGCCCGAGGCCCACGACGATTCCATACATCCCTTGGCTCTCTACTGTGGAGTGCCCCTCATCCCTGCTGGTGCGTCCCATGTTGCAAATGCAATCGTACATTCTTCTGAACCGTCTGGTCTGTACCACTTCCCATCGGCCAAGCCCAATTCCAAGCCACCAACTTCTCCGACATCTCCTTCCCCCTCCTCCCTTCAAACTCTCGAAAAACGTGTCTCCGAAAATAAAAATCCCAACTCGACTCTACATGAACATCTGCTGCAGGAAAAGCCAAACTGCATAGCCAAGGCCCTGCACGACTTCTTGAATTCTTCCTCTCTGCTTGCCCCTCGAAGAGCTGCATTCCTCCCTTGCGCTCATCCCACCAACAGACACCAAAATCCAACATACATATCCCTTCGCCCCCTTGTCCCAACCATCTCAACTACGGTCCCAATCCGACCTTGAGTTTACGCGCCGAGTTCTACGCCCACTCTCGTTCTTGCCCAGCCATGCCATTTCACTCTTTGTAGAGCACTCAGAACCGTGGCCCAATCGACGTTCATTACTTGACCGATAGTCAGCACCAAATTAGCGGAATCAATATCACGGGAAGACGCCGAGAGAAAGTGCATGCATATCCGAACTATCCAGCTTTGACAGCCCTGACGACAGTATACATACAGAGTGTACCGACCACCCCCTCAGTTATCTGATTGCGAAGTGCATACAACCCGAGGGATCCGTGAAATATAATAGAGTGCTACGGCAGAGCGTTGCCTCATACGCTGGTCGCTGCGCAGAGACAACATACGAACTGGAAGCCGAAGCTTTGTTAAGCGGCGGACAAGATGTCGTTGAAGCAGGTACGAAGCGTCATGCTGGGAGTGGGTTGCACGAAACTAACGGATCTCTCCAGGAAATCGAGACGTGGGTTTCCGCGCTGGCGAATTACGATAACAACGAGTTCGACGAAGCATTAAAGACTTTCGATAATATTTCGGACACTTCTAAGATTTTATTCAACTGCGGAGTCATCCATGCGACGCTTGGAGAACATGGGAAAGCAGTACGTATATCGGGATCACTACTGGCACCTGTCGACCAATATAAACTAACATTTATCAGGTTGAATGCTATCAAAGAGCCGTTCGGCTCGATCAATATTTGGCAGTTGCCTACTTTCAACAAGGCGTATCGAATTTCCTCGTGGGAGACTTCGAAGAAGCCCTTGCTAATTTTAACGACACCTTATTGTACTTGCGAGGTAACAATATGATCGACTATGCGCAATTAGGTCTCATGTTTAAGTTATATTCCTGCGAGGTACTCTTCAACCGTGGGTTATGCTACATTTACCTGCAACAAAAGGAAGCTGGAATGCAAGATTTTTCATTTGCGGTGAAGGAGAAGGTTGTTGAAGATCACAACGTAATCGACGATGCAATTAGGGAAGAGGCCGAGGTTAGTTCACAGGCTTCAATGGTGTTAATTTGTGGTTGCTGACACAGTTCTAGGGCTATACTGTCTTCTCCATTCCTGTTGGCGTCGTCTACAGGCCGAACGCGGCAAAGGTTAAGAACCTCAAGACGAAAGATTACTTGGGGAAGGCGAGATTAGTCGCGGCTTCCGACAGAGCAAACGCATTTACAGGATTTGCAGGCTCAGAGATAAAAAACGTAGGTGATCTCGGCGGCGAAAATATCGTCAATGCTAACCCCCAACTAGGCTGGAAAGGTGTCAGATGCGAAGGATGACAGGCCTGCAGAGAATCTCTCATTTGCAGCTGCCAACCTCGTCAAGCCTGGCTTGTCAAGCAAGCGTCAACAATCAGAGCCACCTCTCAACCGAAACGTGTTCCCACCAACACCACCTCCTGAGTCGGACAGGAGTGCCTCAGGATCAAGCTCAGGCCAACTCAGCAGAGGAGCCTCTGTTCGCAATGGGGTCAAACCTGTGCCTGCAAAGCTTAACATCGAGAAGGCATTGCCACCGCAACGTTACGAAGTCCGCGATGAGCAGCCTGCAAGGAGGCCCGCTCCTGCTCGCGCAGCATCGGAATCACGAGGACCAACGGTGAGGCGAGAAGAATCCCGAAGAAGAGACCCAAGAGACCCACCGCCACCAGCACGTAGAAGGATGTCCGATGAAGAGGAAGAGGATGAATACCCTGGAGAGCTTTATGACATGTACCGGAACTCCCGCGGTTCGAAGGGGAGGAATAGACCGCAGCCACGATATATCGAAGAGGAAGATGAGGATGGAAGCGACTATGAGGATGACCAGTTTGACGAGAATGATTTCGAGATGGTCCCTAACCGGCCTGCAGCACCCAGGTCCCGGGCACCCTCCTCATCTGGCAGAGGCTCCTCTCGGAGACCAGATATCCGCAAAGTTCGTGTCAAAGTCCATGCGTCTGAAGATACTCGCTACATTATGGTTGGAACCGCAATCGAATTTCCAGACCTTGTGGATAAAATCCGGGAAAAGTTCGTTTTGCGGAAGCGATTCAAGCTTAAAATCCGCGATGACGATATGCCAGATGGAGATATGATTACTATGGGCGATCAGGATGACTTGGAAATGGCGATAATGTCTGTTAAGACAAATGCCAGGAGGGATAGGGTTGAGATGGGCAAGATGGATGTGAGTATCCCTGTTCGCCGAACTCAATTACATACTAATGTTGTACAGATATGGGTCCAGGAGTTGTCATAAAGCAAACATCGGAATGCGCTTCGAAGGCAACTCGAGCGCAAACATGACAGCAACTACAGCGTTTTCTTCTCTGCTTTGTATTTGTCATGTTGTTTCAGCGAGCCCGTCGGCATATAGATTATGAATTATAGGTTAAAGGATAATGAGATACCACGTCAGTTGAGCTGGCCGGTGGAGACCAAAATTGGTCTCACCAATAAAAATAAAAATAATCAAATAGTATTGCCAGCCCTATTTGATGTCAATTCTACTCTGTCAAACACTAAAAACCCATTTGAAAAACAACTTGAAATGTTGCAATTATCGGGTGCATTCTAGGTTACAGACTATTGGCAGCATATTGACCAATCGTTGTGGCCGATGCAAGGATGTCCATATATAGACACGAGATCTTAAGTACTAAATCGCCAGTACTCGAGTATGACGGACCCGCAACTCAACTCGGCAAAGTAAACAAGGAAGGCGGCTGAAATAGACAAACTCCAGAGTAAATTCCTGCTTTATAGCGCATTATAATGGCCCTAATGTCTCGTCTATTGATTTTGCCGTTTGAAACTATAACTGTAAGCCTCTTTGCAGTTTTATCCATGTAGTGCGTAGATGTGTACCAGATAATCTAAGTACAAGCGTTTTGGTTGCCCCTCCGACGAGATCCAGCCCTGCCCGGTGAGGCCGCCCGGAACAAACCGACCACAGAAACCGATGATCACTAGGCGTCGCATAATCGAGCGCAAAGACTAGATCCTCAAGAAGAGTCTGGTGCTCTACAGGCTCATGTCTAGAGCCAGAAATCTTTCAATAGGTCGTCGCGCGTCGATGCCTGGGCTACAACTTTTGAGACAGCTATAGGCGGGGTCCTCGAATAGAGAGGTAAGTTGCACCAAGCTGCAGCGGTGATGCGACGCAAATAGCTGGCATTCTCCCTGGAGAATAACAGTACCAAAGCGCTGACTCTAGACTGCGAATTAGGACATGCCTACCTGCGAAACAGAGGACGACGATTCGGCCAAACCCCAAGCTCCAACTACGCCGCAACGATCCCCGGCCGTCAGGCATCCCAGGAATGGCAGTGGTGACGGGAAGGCGGCAGCAAACAAAGTATCTGGCCCGCGCAATGCGCCAGTTCGAGGGAAGGGGGGCGGAAAGAAGCCGGAGCCGACGCTGTTGGCGGACTTTCTCCTAGGACGACCGTCTGTTGATCGAACGCGGCGCAGGAGTTCTGCCGTTGCTCCTCCTGCAGAGTTTAAAGCTAGTGCGGTAAACAAATTGCAGCCGCCAGGCGGAGTCAAATATAGGGTGAAGCAATGGCAACAATCAAGCGCGGCTGCGGTGATCGAGGATCCGGCAGCCCCAACAAAGAAACCGGATGGCGGATACTTGAGTAGCGACGTGGAGAACGAGCAACAACCGCCCGCAGAACCACATCTTGCCGTCAAACCCGAAAAGAGAAAAAACGCCTCGCCTCTTCCCCCGAGGGCGAGAGGCACGCCTAGGAAGAGAGTGGTTAGCGATAGCCACTGGGTCAGGAACCGAAAAAAGAGCCCACAAACAAAACAAGACCCCTTGCTAAATCTAATCGTCGACCCTGCCGCCATCAAAAAGAGTCTCACAACAAAGGCTGCAGACACGGGGAAACGCCTCCCAAAAGACTTTGTGAAATCCAACTGGGCCAATCCGCCGCTCGAACGCAAAATACAAGACTGGGCTGCGCGGATCGATGGACATCAGTCTACCTCACACAGCGGTACTACCGAAGACGTGGCAGACACCTTGCCTACCTCCGTTTCAACTTCCAGTGCTAAGAAAGCAGAGACGCCTGTTAAGAAAGCCAAGATACCTACAAAAGCAAAGACGCCAGAAAAGCTCGATAAGTCGAAGCGTCTGCCAAAGGATTTTGTTAAATCCAATTGGGCCAACCCACCACTGGAGCGCAAGATACAAGACTGGGCAGAGAGAACAGCCAAACACAATGAAATCCCAGACGAAGAGAATCCTGAAGAGCAGTCCGAAGACAAGCTCGATGAGAAGCCCGGGGAGAAGCCTGAGGAGGAGACTGAGTCCATATCAGATACGCCATTACCTGCAAAGCCTACCAATTTAAAGAGGACTCCGGCAAAGAAAAGCAAACCAATCAAACCCAAAAGCTCTCCCAAGGAATTTGTTGAAAATCTTTTGGCAAAGCCACCTCTTGAGCGCAAGATCCAAGGCTGGATGGGACTCACAGACAAACTCAACGACAACATGCGTGGAGAGAAGACCGAGACTGTGGTATACCCCGATTTAAGTGGCCCTGCTAAAACCACCACTTTGAAAAGGGGCCTGGCAGGAAGGAAAAGCAAGCCAAAGGGCCTTCCGAAGGATTTTGTGGAATCGAACTGGGCAAATCCACCTCTTGAGCGCAAGATGCAAGATTGGGCAGCGCGTGTGAACGGGCATGACACAGTTCCACACGATGAAGAAGCGACAGAACTCGTGCCCGACTTACCGACAAATCCTAGCAACCTAAACAGCAAGTCAGTCACAAGCACAAGAAGTCCAAATGGGATTCGGAAAGGATATGTAGAGGCCAACTCGGTCAACCCACCCTTTGAGCGCAAGATTCAAGATTGGGTTACACGAACAAACGATTCAGATATAGCTCCGCATGAGGAGAGATCAAAAGTAACACCAAGGAAGGTTTCAAGACATGTTGAGGATGGAAAATCATCTGAAGTGCAAAAGAGCACAGGAGAAGCTGAACCTCTTGGTGTTGCTCGTGCAAAGGTTGTGAGGGAAAACCCCCTAAGTCTACCGCCTGCGCCTAGCGATATTGATAGTGCCGTCGATATAAGGCCCATGAGTCAAAACCAACTCAAAGAGGAGACAATGGGAAAGGCACGTGAGAATAACCCGAAGCGCAATAGAAGTAAATCGAAGATTGGACGGAGGGGGGCTATTCACGGAACAGTCAGGCCAAACGCTAAGAGGTTCGATTCTGTGCAAGACCAGGACACTACAAAACAAGGCGACGATACCAACAGCCAGCTACAGAGCCAGGTCGACAAGGACAGGGAGCGCCGTCTTGCGAAAGAAGAGAACGCAAGAAGGCAAGACAGGTTAGCTAATAACAAGGATCCAACAAGGTCGCGGGATCTACGAACTCTAGCTCCCCTGAAGGGTGCACAAATAGACCAGACGCGCCAGGTCAAAGCTAAAGAATATTTCGATCTCGATCTCCGACACTCGAATGGCCAGCGCATGGCATGTGAAGTTGAACTCATAGTCAGAGATAGTGATCATGATGCTGGAGATATTCTGATCTGTGAAGTCAACGCCCGACGCAGCCACTATCTGCTATTTCAACCACTGCTCACCGAACAAATTTCTGTCCGAAGAGGGGACATGGAGGACGATTTGATTGTCATGGCTCGCGGCCAGGATGGAACTACTGACTGGCAAGAATGTTTCATATTGAAGGCTGAACACGGAGACGTTGTGGACGAGTTTATGGTCATGTTCAGCGACAAGCCAATTCCACCTGCTATATCACGCTTTGACCCTGAGCCCCTTGAGTATGATTCTCCTGGAAAAGCCTTGATGAGCGGAGCACTGGTGTGCCCAGACTCACCAGATGTGCCTATTGGCGAGCATGCAGGATTCCGAGACCAAACTCCCCAAGCAAGCCCTAAAGCTGTCGACCCCTTTGTTTCGGGCGATAGCCACTCTAAGGGACGAGCAGACTACCGTCTCTCTCTCACTCCAACACAAAGAGACAGAGCTATTGAGCCTGTTTCACCACATACAACACCAACAAGATACCGACCTCGACCAAAAGAGCCTTCGCTTGCTACACCAACGAAGGCTTATCCAAACCCAGCTTCAAATGAGAAATCAGTTTCACAGTCAACTTCAGTTGCTCCAGGTCACGCTTCAGCTACAGAGCCACCTCCACCACCTGCTCATAAGCAAACATCCTCCCCAGATGTTGCCACGGAATTGCAGTCATCGCACAGCACAAGCTATGAGCTAAAGCATCGTCGGTCATCCTCGCCCTTGAAGCACGAGTACCAGCCTTCCGACTACACAACTAGTTCGTCAACATCTTATGTGACGGACTCAGAAGACGATGATTCATCTCTTGAGTCTTCAGGCGATGGCTTAACAGGAACAGAAGACGTTGTAAGCCAACTGCAACAGGTGAACGATGCTGTCCTTCCAGATATCCGTCTCGAGCCACCACAAACATCATACTGCTTGAAGTTCAAGGCTCACATCTCATGCTGGCGGGTACCTCCAGGACGATGGGACGATATCCATTTGAATCTTTGCACGGTTGTAATTACGCCAGGCTTGATTGAGGCTTACCCCTTGGAGGCTTTTGACGCCTTAAGCACTGATTCGCCGAATAATGCAAAGCCAAGCGGACGACCGCTCATTGCGCTTGTCTTGACTCCGATTGTGATGCTCCGCCAAAGTAATCCGTTGGATATTGAGATACATTCTCAGCCATTAGAAACTTCCCTGTTGAAGAGCACCCACATTGTCCGATTCAGATCTCGGAACAGAAGCGAATGCATGGCCGCATATACCGCTGCTAACAGGGCTAGACAAGACAATGAGAAATATAATCGCCTGCAACGTGACCGCGAATTGAACGACTACGACGGACAAGCTGGCAATGAATGGGATGAACGCAAGGCTCGCTACAGTTGGTTTGGGCGAAAGAAAAGCTACAGAGCGTCGGTTCGGGCTTCATCCTTCTCAGGCTCCGATGGAAGCACTTTCTCTCTCGGACGAACAGCGTTTATGGCACTGAGACGCATGAGCAATGGGGCCAATGGCCGTCTGACTCCAAATATGTCCAGGTTTGAGGGTGGTGGCCCCAAATCAAGAGGCTCAAGTATCTTCGCTACGGACTCGGCGCCGTCTTCATCTCCTCGGACCCGAACGGATTCAAGCATGGCAGCATCAGGCACCGGCAACACCTCAGTTTTCGACACAAATAACTTGATCATCCGAGTTTACCGTGCCGAAGTCGCCTCTCGGTGGTTGGACTTGGGACATTGCCGCATAGTAATTGGGGTGCCTCCGCCAGGGATGTTCCCAGACACCCGATTGAACTATGGAGTTCTAAAGCACGTGACCCTGACCCACCATACCGTGGAGAGACCAAAGCTCCTCGACAAGCACTTGGGTATCACGAACCCTCCAAAAGAGAACAAGGAACAAGTTGTTTTCTTCGATGGCGTCCTCGGCGCCCGTCGTTTCACTCGTGTAAACAAGATCGGCATCGTTATGAACGTCGAGGAAGAGGTATTTGGGCCAAATGGCGAAATCGGAATGCCTGGAGCTGTAGGTGGAATAGGAGCGAGGCAGAGGAAGTGGATGTTCAAGTGCTCGAACTCTACTCAGGCTGGATGGATTTTTTCTTTGTTGGGAGGTGGTGGCTGATCTAATGGAACGAGACGGTGCTATTATGTATGTGAGGTATATATATGGAAGAGGTTGACATTCGACGATGATGACGCCACGAAGGCATGCCATTTTAGAGGTATGATGGGTCTGCATAATTGTTTCTAGCACTGAATATGGCGGGTTTTTATCTGTTGGAGTATTTATGGTTGGCTGGGGGTTGGGTGGCTGGGAGGGTCTGCGGTTATCGTTGGCTATTAGAGCCTGTATTGCATATTTTCGATGTAAAAACATCATCCGTTTCATAAGCAGATAACAGAATACACACATTTGAAATTATATTACCAATGGAAGTTGAACAGTGATTAAACGTGCATAAGAACTGCCGAGGCGGGAGTTGCTTGTTAGGCAGTCAAAAATACCACGCATTTAGCCAACAATATACATAGAGCAGCACCCATGAAATCTCGGACAATCAAAATCATGTGAAAATTTGTAAAAAGGTAATTGTTTTATTTGGTCATATGAGTAATGCCGAACGCCATCCCATACGCAGTAGTAGGTACACCAGATAAAGAGACAACCCATCCATTTTCCTGACCATGGACAAGTGGCCCTGCACATTCCTTGAAAAGAGGATGAAAAAAGAACAGAAAAAACACCAGTCTACTCGGCAGAGTGCTTGTAGATAGCAGTCACGACACAATGGTCTCTCTCGAAGGGCTCTGTAAGATGAATTAGAAGTTTGTTTATCACATGAAGAGGATTGCGGCTTACCAAGAGTTAACTGTTCCAATGGCTTCATCTTCTCCTCTCTCATCTTTTGAACCTCACGGGTGAAGACAGCCTCGGGTGCGGCAGTCGAATCAATACAGTTGGCCTTGATGGAGATGACAACACCACCTCCAACCTTAAGGAACAAGTGGGCGTTCATTCCGACGATACGAGCCTGATCGGGCTGGGCAACATCGGCAAAGATGACATCGACCATCGACACGAGCATGCGGTAACGGAGCGGGTGGCGGGCATCCTCAATGATTGGGATGACGTTTGTGCGGTGGGTAGCCATGTTGATCAGGTCACGGCCGGATCTGTGAGAGAACTCAACAGCGAAGACGGTACCAGTTGGGCCGACAATATCAGCAACGTGGGAAACCGAGGTTCCGGAAGCGGCACCAAGGTAGAGAACCTTAGCTCCGGGCTTGATGAAGATCTCATCAAGACCACCGAGGACACCGGCAGCCAACTTAGATCTGAAAGGGTTCCACACTCTGTATTCGGTCTTGGTGGTGTTTGGGGTTCCGTCGTCGTTAACGCCAGCGGTGTTCTCGACAGAGATGCGCTTCTCGCCGTAAACCGACTCTCCTGGTGCCATGTTCTTGGTCACCAGCATGTCCTCCTTTCCGCGAGCGACGAAGATACCGCCATGGCGATGGGGCTCCTAAAATGATGTAAGTATGAAAGCAGCAACAGGCAATGGCAGAGAGGTCAACATACAACAATGGTCTTTGCGCCACCTCTGGCACCAGCACCGCCGCGTCCACCTCCACGTGGGGCACCACGCCCACCTCTTGGTGCTCCTCGGCCGCCACGACCGCCTCTGCTATCACCTCGACCACCTAACCCCCGGTCAGCTCTTTATGTCCCCCAGATCTGGAATTGAATAGCCTCCTGTAGCTGAGAGCCAGCATTAGGAAGCCAATTAGAGAAAAAACTGACCTCTGCCACCTCCACGGCCGCCAAATCCACCACCTCTGTCGCCGAATCCACCACGTCCACCGCGATCACCACCACCGCGGCCACCAAAGCCACCACGTCCACCACGATCACCGCCGCCGCGGCCTCTTGGAGTGAATGCCATTGTATATATGCTTCTCAAATAATACGCGGTTGTGGTGCGGTATTATGAGTTTGCGACGTAGAGTGAAGTCGCTGTGCTGGGTGTGGAGATGAACTTTCTCGACGCACGAAATTCTGCACAGAGCTTCTCTCCAAAATTTCTTTTAGAAAAGCGAGCTAACAGAATAGATTCTCGGTCATGCCTTTATGCCTGAGGCACCACTCAAGGCTTATTGGTTAGGGTTGATTAGCCGACCGCACCAGCCGAATTTATCGAAAATTGACAACTGTAGATAGACAGACATCGACAAATTATTACGACGATTGTAATCCTATTTTCCAACAGTCGCCAACATGCGTAAGTTGTCCTATAATTGCCAGAGTTGCCCAGTCTAACAATCACCAGCTCCAAAGGTCGACCCCACTGAGATCAAGATCATGTAAGTCGCCAAATGCCAACCTCGAACAAATCCAAACTTTCCGTCGTGCTCCAGCGAATCTGGCAAGCATGGGCGAACGCTTCAATCCCACAATACGAACACTACTAATACACGCATAGCCACCTTCGGGCAACCGGTGGTGAGGTCGGCGCATCTTCTGCGCTCGCTCCTAAGATCGGTCCTCTTGGTCTTTCCCCCAAGAAGGTCGGAGAAGATATCGCAAAGGCAACTGGCGACTGGGTATGCACGCCCTACAAATCCGACGAATAGAAGGAGCATGGAGGCTAATTGTGTTTGTCTCAATAGAAAGGACTCCGTGTCACCGTCAGACTTACGATCCAGAACCGTCAAGCAGCGGTTTCCGTTGTCCCATCCGCCTCGTCCCTCGTCATCAAGGCCCTCAAGGAGCCCCCGCGCGACAGGAAGAAGGAGAAGAACATCAAGCACAGCAAGTCCATCACTCTCGATGAGGTCATTGAGATCGCACGCACGATGAGGTTCAAGTCGCTGGCAAAGACGCTCTCCGGTACGGTCAAGGAGATCCTCGGAACGGCATTCAGCGTTGGCTGCCAGGTTGATGGAAGAAGTCCAAAGGATGTCAGTGACGATATTGAGAGCGGAGAGATCGAGAGTCAGTACCACTCCTCCAGTATAAAAGTGGTTCCAGTACTAACTACTATACAGTTCCTGAGGAATAAATGGGAATTTTGTCTTTTCTTTGCACTGTAACCAAAGCTTCATGCTTCACGAATAGGCTGTGAGAGCAATGACATTGATTCTTCCAGATGTGCGTTTCCATACAATGTGCATGTCTACAACTGTGCAATGAACCAACGGCCACTCGGATCCTTGAAAATGCTGTGGAGGCAAAGGGTGTAATATCCTTGAAGGGATAAATGCGCACTCTCTATCCGGAGTATGCCCATGAGCCTCCACCGCCATCGTGACGGCGGCTTTGAACTGTGTTGTTGGAATGATTGATATGCTTTTGATGAAGTGCTTACCATGTGATGATTGCAATCCCTATATACTTACAGTATTGGTGGGGTATGTGGCTGCTGTGATAGACAGATTGTGACGATTGTGGCAGGGCAAAACAACAGCCAGTGAGAAGTGAGCCTAAGCAATAACTTCGACGACTATGCAAGACCTGAACATGGATAGCCACCATGCAAGAGTAGGGATTTGGATACACAACGGGACAAAGACAACAGACAGCAGACACAAACGGCCCTTCCTTGCTGATATGCTGCTGTTTGATGGCTGATGGTGGGGGGCTTTGGGCGTTGGATCAGCCACACTTAGCAAAGCACTAACTGCTCCCCCCCCCTTCCCTCAACAGGCACCAACGACAATGGACCCTTGCTGATGAGACCCAACACCCCTCAACCAACACGGCGCTCTCCATTGATCGTCCCTGGCGTCATCATCCTACTGTATGCACTTGACACAAAAAATGGAGTAGATAGTAACAGTATCTCGTGGAGGTCGAAGACTGCCATCAGTCTCTTGTCACCAGCTTCCATCGCCAGTATACGTGTCCTCAAGCATGTCGTAGACTATTGATATCTCAGTATTCGTTCCTCTCTATTCGAACCAAGGGGGTCAAATAAAACACGCCTGCCCTGCCCGGCATTCTCCATTCTCCACTCGTTCCTTGTCCCTGCCCTTGTCTTGGCCGCTGACTTCTGAGACACAATACTCGTAGAGCACGCAGAATGTGGCAGTAATGTGTCGTTGGCGCATTGTTTTTCTCCCCAGGGTAGGTAAGGTGTAGTAAGGTGAGCCAAGGTTTAGAGTAACAATACGCCAAATAGGTTGGCAATGGCTGACACTGACTGGTAGACTAAATTCCTAATCCTGTAGAAACTGTGGAAAGTGTGGTAGGTACCCTCGTACCAGTATCCATTTCCAACCCGCTCAAGCGACCGTTAACGCATCCCCAGCCGCAACCACCACCGCCATCAAACATGCATCCCTACAGACCCCCAATCTTTTGACTGACCACGGTTTCCCAACTTTGCCGTCGCCAGCTTCAACCTCTTGCATCGAACGAAGATGCTCCGTACTGGCAAAGCCCTCAGATTTCGTGCAGGTATTGGCACTTTTCGTGATTTCGTGACGTGTTAGGTGCCTTTCTTATCGCTATCTCGAAAGGTCCCTCTCGCACTATGCTCCCTCAGGGCCACCAGGGTCCCAAAATCGTACAGCCTTTCAATGACACGACACAAGATGGCTTTTCAGCCCCTTTAATGACTTTCAATACGCCTGCTGGACCACAGGCATTTCCATCTCAACCCTATATACCTCGATCTCTGGGACCTCCGCAGTATGCCTTCGCTGTCCGCCTGAACCCTCACCATGCCTTGCCGGATACGGGCTACCAATCGCGTCCCGGTGACGGATCACAATCCCGCGGTGCCTCCGAGCATATGTTGCGCAGGAAGACTCCGAACGGCACACTGGCAGCTGGCTACGATGGCACTCCGGTCCACTGGTCGACTGAACCCCCGCCGACCAAACATGTAGTACTTCCTTTATCTAGCTTTCCGCGAGAAGCCAATCGAAAGGGGCAAGAGCACCCATATGGCGCTGCACACGGCCAAAATGGCCACGCCAGCAGCAGCTCGTACCAGCAACAACCATACCGATCCCAAACCTCGAGTTCGACAAGTGGAGCGTGGGATACCTTCGGTGGTAGCGGGGTTTGGACACGCGTGCCCCCCCTCTTTCTCCGCGGGCAAACAATGGGCAACGGCGCGAATATTGACTATAACACCACAAAGCTTGCATATAACGGCATGCTTGTACCAACGGTTATTCAGCCGCCCTTCCAGTCCTGCCTTGGCCCGACGGCCTCGAATGACCCCGGAATATATGGACCATACTACGCGGATGGAAGATATCTGGCTTATAGGCCAGCTGCTGTGCGGGATACTGGCTATCATTCATTTAACCGCTGTTCTTGTCCGATTCAAGGAGTGCCACCTTGTAACCATGTCTACCGGGGCATGGAGCCATATCCCATTTCGCTCGGGCATAACCAGCTGCCAATTGGTCATCACCTGCATGTTGATCCCTCGAAAGATCACACTGGCATAATGGACGAATTTGCTCCACACGGTAAGACCGTCGACCACATGATTACTGGACATACAGCAGCTAGCACAAATCTAAATCAGTCCCATAGTGGCCCGAGCTACTACCAGGTGCCTTTCGGAGCAGGAAATCATCATGTCCAGTTTAAAGAAAGGGTGCTCGGATGGGCACACCACATATACGTGGACCTTCTGGCTTCTATACATCAGTCTAGGAAGGAAGCGCATCAAGAACGCAAAAAGCAAGGCCTTCAGCGTTCATACTCTCAAACACACATATATCCAAGGCCGCCCCGTCAAACAGCCTTTATGCTTAGGCGACCATCAGATCCTGCCCACCACAGCTATGCTACATCTCCACCTTATTCGAACGACTTTGGGCAGAGTCACGATCCCAAACATGAACCTGGCCCCTATCGCCGACGGTCGAACTCTCTCATTAGCATAATGGAGGATAAAAGGTCGTTTGCTAACCGAGCACCTCTGTTAAGACAAAACATTGGTAGCGGGAGCTCTTTCAACTCCAATACTCGTGGCGGAGATCACGGTAACAACCCACCACCTTTGTACCCCCAAAGTTTCCCCCAAGGGCTTCCCCAACGTGGCTCAATCAAGGAGACAGCAAAATCTGCCCTCGAAATACTTGGCAACCTCTGCCAAGAAAGCGGGTGGCGCTGGATCGACGGAATGCTATTGGGGGGATGCTTAGCATATGGCTTGGAAGATTATGAGAAAGCACTCGATTGGTATAGCAAGATTGTTGCTCTTGATTCAAGCCATGTGGAGGCTATTTCGAATCTAGCTGCCACTCTTCTATCTCTGAATAGGAGAGAAGAAGCGGAGCAGCATTGGCTACAATCGGTAAAATTACGGCCAAGTTACTTCGAGGCTGTCGAGCATCTCATCGGGCTTTTATGTGGAGACCACAGAGCAGACGAGGCCATCTCTATAATTGACTTTGTAGAGCGATCACTTCGCCTTTCAACTTTCGATGAGCAAGACCGAGAAAGCGATACATCGAGTGATGGAGGACTCTCAACAGGTAGCTCTGCCTATACTTCTGAGCATGCCTTTGATTTCGATCCTAGGCCAAGCAACCATACATTTTCAAGACCACTTGGTGACGATAGTTTCAAGCAGCCCGGATTTGGATCTAGTGGATATGCAATCGCTGGTTCTGATAATGGACGAATGCTAGCGCTGATCCATGCCAAGGGTAATATGCTCTACGCTGCTGGAGATATTAGTGGTGCTTCTCGGGCATTTGAAGACGCTGTTCTTGTCAGTGTTGGGAGAAGAGTTCATGGTATTCATGGCCTCATCAGGAATATTCTCAATGTCGTATCGTCCATGGACGTGTTCAACCCCACCGCCCGCCAAAGTACCTTGTGCATGCCTACCACAGGGGAGCTTATGCCAGTACTGTTACCCCCTGAAAAAGCACTGCGAACAGCAGCACTGGTATTTTCCAAGCATTGCCAGCTACCCGGACTCCGCTACATCTCACAAGGAGCTCCAAGGACCTCTGCTATATCCACGACGAGCAACTCCTTGCTATCACTTGCAAAAATCTTTCAAGATGGCATGACAAATGCTAGCCAGTCACCAATGGCAACGTCACGGCCTTGCGGCACTGCTGATATCCTTGCGCTCTACTATTTATCGCTCTCATTGCAGCCTAGCCCTTCAACCTCAAACAACATAGGAATACTTCTAGCAGGTATTCCTCAGCAAATCTCTGATCGTACTGTGCAAATGGCAGAGGCAGATTCAATCCCGACAATCCCAGGGGTTAAGCCTGGCAGCGGTGTTGCGCTTGCTCTAGCCTATTACAACTATGGCTTAAATCTGGACTCTCGCCATGCCCACCTATATACCAATCTCGGCAGTCTTTTGAAAGACATCGGTCAACTCAGTGCGGCCATCAAGATGTATGAGCAAGCTGTCGATTGCGATGGGAATTTTGATATAGCCCTGGCCAATCTAGCCAATGCGGTCAAGGACCAAGGCAGGATTAGCGATGCTATAGAGTATTATAAGCGCGCTGTAGCGTCAAGCCCCAACTTTACGGAAGCCGTATGCGGGCTTGCCAATGCGCTGAACTCTGTCTGCGACTGGACTGGGCGCGGGGGCGTAATTTTTGAGGGGGCAAAGTATGACCGATGGCATGTTGGCGAAGATGGGATGCTTTGTGATGCAAAAACCAGTTTGACCGGGACTGGGTGGATGAAGCGCGTAGTCGCTATCGTAAACAAGCAACTTGAAGATGGCGCCAGCTGGGGCTCCGGTACTCTGAATAGTCAAGTTCTCCGTTCGATGCTGCAGGAACTCGAAATTGCAGATACGGGCAGTCAGTGGTCAAACGACAAGGCTTCAACTATGCTTGCAAGACTGAGCTCTTGGGTAGGAAAGCCATGGGAGGGGGCTCGTATTGTACGCTTGATTGAACGAGCTATCAAGAGAGCTATGCACCGATGGTACACAGACAAATACGTCCGCCGACTGGATTTCCCAAAGTCAAGCTATGCCCGACCTCATCTTCCGAGTTCGCTAACTGTACCTGGAGCACCGACTGTATTGCCTTTCCACACTTTTACGTGCCCATTATCTGCCAAAGACATCAGGATGATTTCGGAGAGAAATGCCATGCGTATCTCGTGTGCTGCGCTGCGTGCACCATGGCTCCCGCAGACCGTATATCCACCGCCACCGCCGCCATCACCAACGCTCAACATTGGCTATATTTCCTCAGACTTCAATAACCACCCTCTTGCACACTTGATGCAGTCCGTATTTGGGATGCATGACCCACGGAAGGCAAAGGCAATCTGCTATGCCACTACGTCAAGCGACAATTCGGTCCACAGGCAGCAAATAGAAAAGGAGGCTCCCGTGTTTCGCGATACCAGCGGCTGGCCCTCGGACAGATTGGTGCAACAGATTGTGAAAGATGAAATTCATATTCTCGTGAATTTGAACGGGTATACACGAGGTGCGAAGAACGAGGTCTTTGCGGCGCGCCCTGCTCCTATCCAGATGTCCTTTATGGGATTTGCGGGCACGCTCGGCGCAGAGTGGTGCGATTACCTCTTGGCCGATGAAACGGCTATACCACGAAGTACTCTGCGGCCTTGGAGACGCAACATTGACCTGGACGATCAGCTCCGTTGTGACGAGTCGGTTGACAAGGAAGGCTGGGTCTACTCGGAGAATATTATCTTCTGTCGAGATACATTTTTCTGCTGTGACCATCGACAAAGTAGTGAAGATCGTCAGCTTTCTTGGGCAGGAGAGCAGGAGCGGAGGTGGAAAATGAGAAAGGAGCTCTTCCCAGATCTACCTGACGACGTGATCATTCTCGGAAATTTCAACCAATTATATAAGGTTTGTAATTCTTCAATTCATGCCGAGACTAGTACTAACAAATATCTTCAGATCGAACCAACAACATTCCGCACATGGCTGCGGATACTCGCAAAGGTGCCCAAGGCCGTTCTCTGGTTACTTCGATTCCCTGACCTTGGGGAGAGCAACCTCCGGCGGACAGCTCGGCTGTGGGCGGGCGAAGAGGTAGCATCACGCATACTGTTCACCGATGTGGCTCCAAAGAATCTACATATATCCCGGGCACGGATTTGTGATTTATTCCTCGATACCCCGGAATGCAATGCTCACACAACGGCCGCGGACATCCTGTGGTCGTCCACTCCACTCCTGACTCTGCCTAGGTACGAGTACAAGATGTGTTCACGCATGGCAGCCTCCATCCTAAAGGGTGCATTGCCCCGGTCCGACGAAGGATTTGAGGCTGCATCGGAACTTATTGCTACGGATGAGGAGCAGTACGAGGAATTTGCGGTGAAGTTGGCTAGTGGGCTGCGTTATGACGAGTATGGGGTGGGCAGTGGAAGGCTCAGTGACCTCCGACGACTACTCTACGAGAACCGCTGCCACAGTGCGCTGTTTGATACGAAGAGGTGGGTCTCGGATCTTGAGAGGGCATACAGTGAGGCTTGGCGTAGATGGGTTGAGGGCACTGGGGGGGACATTTATTTGTGAGGCGGGATTTAAGGGATTTAATGTTCAGGGGTATTTTGGTATTTTTGAGGGCGCATTTAACAGCGAAAGCTGGCTGGATAGACTTGGAAGGTGTTAATGGGGCGTCGCAAGCGCCTGCTGCTTTTACGTGGCGTTTGATATTGGATATTGGATCGAGGGGTCCCGCTCGCGGACCAGTCCGCCGACCCGGTTGGAGTTATCTGATTTTATTATGCGTCGTTTTATATCCCCCCAAGATTAGAGCCGTGGCCTTGGGCAATGGTTGGCACAGCTGCTGTAACCGCACTCTTGGACTCAGATGAAAGTGATCTACAACCAGGGTGCTGGGGCGATCAGGGGGCGTTTTCTTGCACGGTTGGCCATGCATATTGGATATTCCCTGGCTATATCTCAAATAGTTATTGCATTTTCAAGGTTATGTGACGCCAATCCGTCGTCGGAAGCAGGGATTAGGGTAGCTGAAGAGCAGGGTGCGGAGAGTGGTAGCGTACCAGCCCAAGGCGTTCTGGCTTACCGACTACCAACCAAATATATGTGGAAGTGTGGGAAGTGTGGGGGAGGGCTTGAGAAAGCTCTCTCTTTTTGTCATTCCCTGGCAAGGCAATCAATCAAGTGACTGTGTATCTACGGTACTTTCCATATGGAAGATGCATTTGGATGTACGAGGTGGGGGGTACAACATAAAATTTGATTGTATGTATGTACAATATATCCAGAGTGAGAACGGATGACGGATGACTGATGACGAAGATGGTACAGAGGGGCAACGACAGCGGACAGTGGAGAGTGAGCAGCGGAAAACGGATAAAGGAGGACGCGAGTTAAGCGACACAGACACAGACACAGCGTGACATCCACGGGTGTCTTGTCTTGGTCATGTCTTGGTCTTGTCTTGTCTTGTCTCTCCCACGCACTCCACCGCCGTCGTGGCTCTGTGAGACTGTCTGAGCAGGGGTAAGCGAATAATGGAGGACCGGGACCCGGGGTGTTGAAAGGCTGGTTGCCGTTGTGATTGTCGCTTGCCGCTGCTGGTTTGGTTTTGGTTTTTGGTTTTTAGTTCTAGGGTTACAGCAAGGCCAGGCGCAGGCAGGTGGTTCACTGTTTCTGTAACTCCCCGCTTTCCCGCTTTGTTTCCTTTCTTGCCGTCCGCCGCGCCGCCGTCATTCATGTCGGTCATCTCATCGTTGTTGAGGGAGGGGAGGGGATGTGGGTACATCATACATACGGCACCGCACGGTACTGTACTGCAAACTCCGTACATCGCCGTACATCGCCATTCATCGTTGGCTCATGCTCATGTTTATGCTCATGGCCACAATCTCACCGGCCATGGTGCAGTAGCAGAGTATCAGATTATCAGACTCCACACATGGAACCCGCGGAATCACAAATCAGTGCCGGCTTGCATGTATGGAGTATGTGCAGTAGGCACAGTGCAGCGCAGGTCGGTGTGCAGTAGCCAGTTCTGAGCTGTGAGCGGCAAACAGGGCGTTTGCTATAGACAGGGAAGCAGGAGAGGAGAGACACCAGCTAGGGAGATACAGGGAAGATCATCACGCCTGGGTTCTAGTCCAGCAAACTGTACATATGTACTCTCTGTACCATATTTCCCAAATCCGGGATAGGAAGAGGAAGAGGGCGGCGGCGAGAAGAAGAGGAGGAGGGGAGTTGCCCCACAAGCGGATGTGCTGGTGGTGCATCAGCTGGCGATATGCATCATCGTAATAATAGCAACATTGGTGGGATCCCGAATGAACAACTAGGGTTGAATGACTAGGTTGAACGACTAGGGTTGATCTCCAAGGGTGCGGTTCAACGTCTCTTGCTGGTGAACCGTGTGAGTTCTCGGTTCGAGCGCTTCAACAGTCAGTCAGTAGTCGTGGAGTTCAAAGTCGCTAGACAGGTACTATACTTTTGTGGGAGGTACTGTTTGGTGGGTTGGGTGGATTTGTGTGGGTGAAAATGACTGACCTACCGTGCGGGCGATGCGCTAAGGACAACAGCCACTGCCACATTTAGTCGCGCCAGGGGCCGTTGGAATGGCTGTAAGGGTATGAGCTAACTGAGCTAACTGAGCTCGGGTACAACGGCCAAAGTACCGCTCGTGAAGGGGTGACAACGGGTTCAGAAATCCACAAAATCCGCCTGGACTCGCTAATTCGAGACGTATTCGGAAAGGGGCCCAGCTAGACAGCGACGCTCGATCCGATGCGCAATTGGATCGAGCTCCAGCGTGGCTGAGACATTTGCGCCGCCGCGACGAAACAGCGCCTGGATCACACACGGATCATTTTTGATTCATATTTTTTCGCGCCGTTCGTTCGTGGCGAGGCCGAGATATGCGCCTCCTCCATTCATCCCCATTCCATCCCCATCCCATCCCAGAGGTACTACCGTACTGTACCCACCTATCCTGTACAACTTATACACTGCTGTAACCATATGCAGCGATGATCCTGTCCCCTTTCTTTCCGGGAAGGGGGGAAGAAGGAAAGGGCCAGGTTACTCAAGGCGGGTTCAGCGGGTTCCAGGCGGGGGGGGCGGGGGTGGTTCAGCTCACATCGCGTGTTGCGGCGGATGCTGAAGAATCATGATTCGCTCCGGGGCAAGTCTCGCGCCACGGCCGAACGGTTTGCAATTCGCTCGCGGGTGAGGCTGGTGGGATGGGAAATGGGGAATGTCTCTGATTCATGTTTCTCATGCTGTGCTCCCGTCCTGTCCCCTTCACGCTATGAGGGTGGCGATGAGCGATGAGAGCGGGTACAGATGTACGATGTGTGCGCGCGCGCGAGATGTACTTGTAGGGATGCTGAAGGAAAGGTGTTTCTCTTTCTGTTTCTTTTTCTTTTCTTTTCCCCCCCCGTAGTGGAAGACGGAAGGACGGAAGGGGCACACACAATGTCTTAGAACTGTGTGGGCAGAGCGTGGTTTGTGTAGCACAAGTGGCACGAGTGGCACGGGTTCAGTGCGGTTCTGTGCAGTTTATACCTTGTGGTCGGTGTGTTCTGTCTCACAGACCTGACGAGAACAAGGCACGCGGAAGGGTACAGAGTACAGGGAAAGGTACAGTACATCGGTTAACAGGCTGCCAACTGACATACTGCTGTACTCACTGAAAGTAAAAGTGAAGAGTACAGACAGTGCCATCGCTGCCATCATCTTTTCGCTTGGCCTTGCTTCATCTTGACACTCGTTTTATGACTTTTTATGAGCGGCAAAGTTAAGGTAAGAGTGGACGGACATGGACGGGTATGAAGGCAGCGCCGCGAACGGTAAACCCAGCTGGGTGGGCTAAGAAGCCACCCGCGGCGATCGGACCAGCATAAGGTACAGTACAGTAGCATCACTCTATCCAAGCACAAAAGAGCCGGGATGAGCCATGTGTAGGCAAACTCCGTTCCTACACCACATTCTACTCTATTAACAACGAGGGGCGCGCGGGGGCTGCGGCCGGCACACACAATAAGACAGCCAGGACCAGGCGATGGAACAAACAATAGTGCCAATGCGGCGGCGCGTGCATGCATTGGATCCAACCCTCCCCCTCTCCCATTCGCATAAGGAATCCTCCTCCCAATTCCCCTTCCCCATCCGCTCCCAATCTCCCATCCATGGCCATGACCATGGCCAGTCCCCCCTAACCCTCGTCACTCGCTCCCCCATGCAGCACATCACACATCCTCCTATGTCTCGCCTTGACCCTCGCGCGGCCGCGGGCGCCAAGGGACAGGGCAGGTGGACAGAGGGGAGGAGCGGAGCGGACAATCGACACACTAGAGCCACATGTTTGCGAGACATGACGACTCAGTCGGGGGGGCCGGACGGACAGGGCACGGGGATTGCTCACGGTCTTCGGTGAATGCTCAGTAGTTAGTAGTTCAGGCACGGATGTTGGGGGTGGCCACCACCACACCCACCATAAAACCCACAGCCCTCAGGACCCGCGCGCCGCGCCCGCTCGCTCTAATTAAGTTCGCTTCGATCATCATGATGCCTGTTCGTTTTTTTCTGTGTAAGCGAGGGGATCTCCATGGTATTTGTGTTTTTTTTTTTTTTTTTGCTTCGG